TTTTCTCATTTTCCTACCTCATCAACTTATCTTTAACTGAACTTTTGGTATATGCTTATATTTATGTATATATATTTTTGTATATATATGTAAGAAAATTGAAATTTGCAATGTCTGGTACATATAGTGTCTGAAGAGTTGATATGAAAGTGTTTAAGCTTTACTTATCAGAGGTGTTTCCAATTTTATTATTTTTCTTTAGTATTAACTCTACCACTGCTAGTGTGTGTTTATTCCAGGGCGTTGTGTACCATTGTTGACTTTTTTTTTTTCGTTTTGCTTTTCCATGGCAGTAACAGTACCACTGTTGAGTTACAGTCTTTTCAAGGGCATAAACTATACCATTGTTGAGTTATTGGGTATTTTTCGAGGGCATTCATTTACCACTGCTGAGTTTAACATTTTTCCAGGGCGTTATGCGTTAATGTGTTTCTCAGGGCATTAACTGTACCACTGTTGAGTTACCAAGATAATGGTTTTTTCAGCGGCATTATCTATGTCATTCTTAAGTTCATGGGTTTTCCCCAGGCATTAATTGAACCATGGTCAAATTAATAGTTTTCCTGGGCACTGATTATACTGCTGATGATTAAGTTGGGTTTTTTCCTCAGATTGTTAACACTACCTCTACAGGTAGGTGCCTGTTGTTGGTCCATTGAGGGCATTAACTGTATACCACTATGTTGGTGGTATGAGAAGGGCATTAATTGTATACCACTATGTTGGCGGTATGTGAAGGGCATTAATTGTATACCACTATGTTGGCAGTATGTGAAGGGCATTAACTGTATACCACTATGTTGGTGGTATGTAAAGGGCATTAATTGTATACCACTATGTTGGTGGTATGTAAAGGGCTTTAATTGTATACCACTATGTTGGTGGTATGTGAAGGGCATTAACTGTATACCACTATCTTGGTGGTATGTGAAGGGCATTAATTGTATACCACTATGTTGGTGGTATGTGAAGGGCATTAACTGTATACCACTATGTTGGTGGTATGTGAAGGGCATTAATTGTATACCACTATGTTGGTGGTATGTGAAGGGCATTAACTGTATACCACTATGTTGGTGGTATGTGAAGGGCATTAACTGTATACCACTATGTTGGTTGTATGTGAAGGGCATTAATTGTATACCACTATGTTGGTTGTATGTGAAGGGCATTAATTGTATACCACTATATTGGTGGTATATAAAGGGCATTAACTGTATACCACTATGTTGGTGGTATGTGAAGGGCATTAATTGTATACCACTATGTTGGTGGTATGTGAAGGGCTTTAACTGTATACCACTATGTTAGCGGTATGTGAAGGGCATTAATTGTATACCACTATGTTGGCGGTATGTGAAGGGCATTAATTGTATACCACTATGTTGGCGGTATGTGAAGGGCATTAATTGTATACCACTATGTTGGTGGTATGTGAAGGGCATTAATTGTATACCACTATGTTGGCGGTATGTGAAGGGCATTAACTGTATACCACTATATTGGTGGTATGTGAAGGGCATTAACTGTATACCACTATGTTGGCGGTATGTGAAGGGCATTAATTGTATTGAATTGTAGATGCCTATTCTCCTTTTTGTCAATATCATGCAATGTATAGATCTTAACAGACTGCCACTGATGTTCCTTTCACAAATCAATTTTACTCCTATCCTGTGTCACTTCCTTATCTAATCAGGTGCCACTATGCATTACATAACTGTCTACAAACTGGCTCCCTTTTACTAGCAGCAGCCTTTATTACTCACATAGGTAAGGGAAACTTTCAAGGTAAATGCAAAAATAATACATTTCTATATATCTATTTAATGGTATTTTCATTGTTTTTACCAATGATCAAATGATTTAATGATATCTTGATATCATATAGCTGTTTCTGTCTCCTGTGGATTGAGAAATGTTCTTCATATTTTGCAAGGTTAACATGTTGAGTTACTGGCAGACTTTATAATATAATGTAGTCCTAGCCTTTCTCTCTGTTGCATGTTTCCTTTTGGATCCATGTCCATTTCCATAACTTTCATCCTCGCTGATCAATGTTGTATTGCATGATGAAATAACGTTATTCACTTTTTAAGTTTGTTAAGACTCAAAATGTAAACATGGGATGCCGCTTCAACCTTGGTATTTAAGTGTTACATGTATTTTAGAAGGTTACTTTGACTTGGTAGTGGGTACTACTGATTGGCAGAGGTTCAAAGCCAGCAGCACTGTACTGTAGCAGCTATGTAAGACCAATTAGTGGACTAGAATGGGTAGCTAAAGGGCCATAGTAGCTAGACCTTCAGTATCTTAAGCACAGGGGCCTGTATAAATGCTTCTTGGGGATGAGAGCTTTTAATTTCACATGTATATTATAGCTAGTAGTAATAGTGTAAAATACAAGCCCTGACGTCCCAAGAAATAATGTAACAGGCCCCTGTGATCTTATGTTATCAACTCTAAACTATATCAGCATAAAAATCTGACTAAAAATATTTATTGCTGCTATAAAACTGGTATCAACTTATATATCTATAATGGTTAACATGGTGTCTACAGGTAAATTACTGTCAAATAATTGGGTTTTCATGGTGGGGCTTATTTTGGTTGATTTTGTGGTTGCCGGCTAAATACGTTTTCCATTATTTGATGGAAAATTTTCGATTTCCATGTCCAACTAGAATGAAATGTCCACAGAATCAATCTGTTATTAAGGATCTGCTATTGAAAGTGGATTTTATCAGCAAGATTTATCCAGAAAATCAAATGTGAAAGAAAATCCATGATTTTATTAAACTATAAAATGTGAGCCCAATAGAAGTCATTTTGGTTTTACAGTACATAATGTTTCATAATAAGGTTCTAATGGAACTCAAAGGTGAGAGCCCATGTACAAACTGAAAGTCATGTGTGAAAGATTATTATGGCAAGCAACAGTCCTGGACATTGCCACCATGTACAAACTGATGATGTTGTCTGGAAGATTATTGTAGCAAGCAACAATCCTGGACTTGGCCACCATGTACAAACTGAAGATATTGTCTGGGAGTTTATTGTGACAAACACTGATCCTGGACATTGGCACCATACTTCAATCTATAAACATATGAAGGAATAAAAGTCAGTCTCAATCTGTGGTAAACAAAGCCTAAAATTCAGTGAGAATATACTGAATACATACAATTCAGTCCCTATCATCTGGAGTTACTTGAGATGTCATTATTGGAATCTGTCCAGATGTCACTGCCAGTTTTGATGGTCAAGCGTTCAGGGAGATGGAGCTTTATATTGTTTCAGTTATAGTGGTCAGTTTTAATTATGGAGAAAAAAATGCCTGAGGCTGTTTGCACCCTACACTGACTATCACACAATCTCGACAACACTAATGGAACTTCCAGTCTGATGGACATGATCTGGTTTGCCAGAATTGTAAAGAAACGCTTGAATTATCCACAGGTATTTCTTATTAATACCTGAACTGATTTCTACCGACTGCAAAAAGTTTCAGTATGATTTGTAAACTGTATGTTGTAATACCACTAATGAATAAGGGAAAGACTAAATTAAAACTGTGTTGAAATTAAATCCAGATCCAGATATTTAGTGCTAGGTATAGAGAGGTTGTATAGTTCACTTCCATCACAGTTCCCACTTATTATAGATGTACTAATGTATATACTAGTGATTGAGATCAGGCACCTGTCATAGACACATTCCAAACATTTTCTTTTTCAGTATGAATAATGTTTTAAAATTCCATTTTAAGTGAATGTAGTCAGAGCCATTGTATATTGTTTTTTTAGGAAATCAGATAAAACACTTTTAACCTTAACAATCAGTCCCATGTAATGTCTGACAACTTGTGATTGTTGATACAAGTTAAAAGTCTGATATACTGTCTTGAACACAATAGTTATAAACGTCATCTGAAAACTGTAGAATAGATTTGATGCTGTAGTAAGGGAGATAACCCCTGTCAGGCTTGTTAAGAAGTACCGGATGGATGGCCTTCTGAACTTTTGGGTTATTCACCGATTGTGTCCTGTTGATAGAGGGACCATAGATAAGTTGTCCGTTACATCTGCCAAACCACTTGTTACATCCCTGGAATATGTACGCTATTTTCCTACCATGTTCCAGGCCTATCTGCTATGCTACAGTACAACAATGTGTAATGTGAATGAAATAAAGACATGCTTTATCTGTGTACTGTATACTTTTAGGAGAGTACATAGGTGTATGTACAGGTTTGAGATAGACTGCAATGCTTTTTTGAGTTAAAAGGTTTTGCTCTTGAATTACAAGCTTGTGGATTAGAAAGGATGAAACTGAAATTGCTGTGAAAATTACAAACATATATATAGTGTCTTCAGCTTGTAGAAGCAAAACCTCAACCTCTATTACTGGAGAAATTTTCTTCTTTAATGTGAAAGTTAATTTCATTACAATAAAAAAAATTAAGTGTAAATCATGTCTTTAGAAATGTAACTTTGAAACAAATATTAGGGTTTTTCCACAGTATATAGTAAGTACCAAGTAAAATAACGGTGATGAGACGCAATAAATTCTATTGAAAGTCCCTCTTTGTGTTTGACTTTGGAATCTGATTAAAAATTCTTTGTACCTGATTGAAGACCTGTCAGGACAGAATTTCTAACACATGGTACTTCAATACCATCCTGAAAAAATCTTTAAGGCTTACAGGATCAAGACATTAAGTGTATGAAAAAATTAAGCTGAGATCGAGGGTAGCTTTCAGCGGTAAAAAAAATTCTTTGATTTCCATTTGGGGTCACTTTCTATGATACCCACATATGGCTGTTGAAGTCCATCATTTTCTGTTTTTTTTTTTTTTCTTTTCTTTTTTTATATTAATGAGTGACTGGCATTCTCATGTAAACACGCATGGCTTAAAGGCATTTTTTAAAAGATATATTTACAAATTTACTTGTTGATTGTAATATATGCTTTATCATGCTTTTATTCTTTTTCTGCAGAATGCTGTGAAAAGGCATGGATCGTTTACGGAGAGTGTGAGTCGGCTGGCCGTGAAACATGACCGGTTTGTACGAAGGCTGTCCGACTCCTTCTATTCTGTGAGGTAAATCTCGGTGCAAGCTTTATTAATTTTATGATTGCAACTGCAGACAAGTATTTTTATGAACTTCTTAGAGTTACTCGTGGGAACTACAACATCAGCTGAATTCTCAGAATAATTCCTGTCATCACAGTCTCGCGACGTTTTATGTTTAAACTAAGTGTTGCATTAACCTGGATTTGATATGCAGTTCTCAGGGCTTGTTTGATGTGCTTTAGTTTCAGCATTTGCACTGTTCAGAAGCTCAGTTAAACTAAAATGTCTGAAATCAAGAATAAGACAGACTCACTATAACAATGCATTATGGTTGGTTGAAGTATGAGTACAATAACTTCTCTTTATGTAATTACCTAGTACTCTACAAATATGAGACCTGCTTTATTTCCTGTGATAGAAAGATTTCCCTCTGATATAAAGGGTTATGTTGCTCAGAGGATCAGATTCTTGGTACATTTGCCTTGTAGCGAGACTTTCATCTTTCATCAGAGGGCCAGGGATACAGATCTATACATACTGTGCCAGGTCTTTAAATCTGAACTTGTTGCTTCAGTACACACCTAGTGAGGGAAGGGAGGTAACTCAAAATAGCTCCACGTTAAATACTTGTACATCAACTGATGGTTAATGTAAAATTCTTCATTACATCACATTGAAATCATATTTCTGCCTATGATTTTTTTGCTTCATCGTTTCCAACAACAAGGATTCTTATAAAGGGACCTAGATTTCTCCAAAATGTAACCCATTGTCTCAGGATCATGTAATGCTTTTGTTTATATTGAAGTAAGAAATCATGTCTAAAGACCAGTACACTTTCAGATATTGAGAGGGCTTGTATTAGGTGTAGAGTAATCAGGTATAAGAAAGTCCAGAATAGTGAAATATAGGGAAAAAAAGTGTGGTGTTACTCACTTACATATATGAGATACACAATATGAATTATAAACCAGCTGGTATTACGGGACACTGGCTGATACAAAGAGATGGAAGTGATGAAATAAGACATCGTCTGTTATTATGCCTTCCTTATATAGTGAGAGTACATTATAATGATTTTGTCTATAAATGCATTGGTTTGTCTATCTTTGTGTGTGTCTATCCTACAGAGAAAAAAATCTTGTGCACAGCTATATTGCACTTCTGATTTGATAGTGATGGTCACTGGTCCAGTTCAGGGGGTTGACCACTTTTAGAATTAGAAAAATTGTATAAAAGACATATTTTATTATTTCCTTACCAAACTTATTTTATACTAACTACATACTATAGTCACATTTGGAATTACCTCTAATGATAGAATTAGACGGAAATGGCAATTAAAGTTTACAAAATCAAACATCGTAAAAATAACATAAACCTGTGATTTTTGAACTGGATGGAGAATACTCCACCCAAAATTCTTCAAGTAATTACAGGCTATCGCACAACCACGTCCTGATCAAGCCATTGGAGGAATTTTGTGTCATTCCTAACCGACTTTGTTTTCATTAATTATATATAGAATGTCAAGTGTTAAAATAGGACTAGAATGACATGTCCTGTTGAACTTTAAGTGGAATATTCAAGTTTGTTGACATATCAATTCCCATTTGTTATGTAATCGTTCAGTGTAAAGAATATGGTAGAGAACATAGCTGACCTGGTTTACCTGTGTTCCCCATTTTATTGTAATCAATACATTGAAAGATGAACATAACTGGTCATTCTGGCTACACTGTTAATTGTTATTATAAAATTACAGATGTTATTATAGACGTGCCATTGTTATAGTTTGATGCTTTATTTACTTGATATAAACTTCTTAGATAAATAATTTACGTCGTCTTTTTGCCGCAATGTTGTTCAGCTATGATAAAGTTTATTGGTTATGAGTGAAAGTAAGCCTATTTGCTGTTCTGCTGGTATCTGCATTCCACTTTTATAACTTTGTTGTAAATTTTTGAAAATCTTTTAGGTAAATCCACACCCTTCCTATATAACCAGTAGAATCCTAATAATGATGTTACAGCTATTTATTGCACTGTTTTGATTGTTTTTCACAAAATCTTCGTTATTGGGAACAAAACAATTTTTACATAACTTCTTAAGTACCTCCCACACCCCTCCTGTACAATCATTAGCGATCCAAGATTGATGTTACAGCAATTTAATGCAGATTTTTGGGGTATTTTTGCCAAATTTACCATGTTGTAGCCATAACATTGTTTACATAAGTCCATAAGTATACCTCCTACACCCCTCTTATTTGTCATCCACCATCATTAAAGTTCCAGGAGAGATCATGATGTTACGGAATGTTAACACTCAGCTGTAAATTTTTGCTTGTAAACTTGGCAGTCGTTGAATGCACTTTCATATCTATGTGTTTTAGGCCGAGACCTAAAACCTAAATATACTCAGGTGTTTCAAAACGCAAAGACAATGTGCAAATGACACTAAAAGTGGGCAGCACTTTGTACTGATGACACTGCAAATGGGCAGTGGTTTGTAGACAACACTAAAAGTGGGCAGTGGTTTGTAGACAACACTAAAAGTGGGCAGTGATTTGTAGACAACAATAAAGGTGGGCAGTGGTTTGTAGACAACTCTAAAAGTGGGCAGTGGTTTGTAGACAACACTAAAAGTGGGCAGCACTTTGTACTGATGACACTGTAAATGGGCAGTGGTTTGTAGACAACACTAAAAGTGGGCAGTGATTTGTAGACAACTCTAAAAGTGGGCATTGGTTTGTAGACAACACTAAAAGTGGGCAGTGATTTGTAGACAACACTAAAAGTAGGCAGTGGTTTGTAGACAACACTAAAAGTGGGCAGTGCTTTGTACTGATTACACTGCAAATGGGCAGTGGTTTGTAGACAACACTAAAAGTGGGCAGTGCTTTGTACTGATTACACTGCAAATGGGCAGTGGTTTGTAGACAACTCTAAAAGTGGGCAGTGCTTTGTGCAGGTTACACTAAAAGTGGGCAATGCTTTGTGCAGATAACACTAAAAATGGGCAGTGCTTTGTGCAAACGACACTTAAAATGGGCAGTGCTTTGTGCAGACGATACTTAAAATGGGCAGTGCTTTGTGCAGGTTACACTTAAAATGGGCAGTGCTTTGTACAGACGGACACTAGAAGTGTGCATTGCTTTGTGCAGATGACATTTTCTCATTCCGGTTCAATGTCTATGATAACACATAGCATTGAGCTCCATTTCCCTAATAAGCTTGATGTTTTGAAAATAACTGTTGCACTTAAAGGCCTCACCTTACCCTGGTCTGGGGAATAGATATTGATACCCAGGTAATCCTCTATACTTCAACAGTGTAGTAACATCATTATGGATTAAATAACATTAAGATCAGCATTTACTATAAAAAATGAAACTTCAGAATCAGATTTAACCTATTACTGATTCTATTTCAGGCATATACTCCATGACCTTTAATGCTTCAAGTGTTGCTCTGTAAGCTTGTTGGTGTTTGTTGTGTGTTAAGTAATGGAGAATTGTTTTTCCTGAGTATGAAATATTGATCCTGATCGCTTACGTGATCCGTGTGTTACAAGCATGTTACGATGGAGTTGTGTGACTGCGTATCTCAGGAGGCACATCAAAAACTACAAACACACATATGTATTTGCATTATGCATTATTTCAATGAAACCTTTCGACATCCACCACCACAGTGAACAGTTGCTGTGTTTGGAGCCTGACTCCTTCTAGCCATATTTCCTTTTGTCGATTTGCTGATGTATGCATTCATGCTCTTGTGTGACATATTCTGCAGACCTTCCTGTAACTGAGTGGATTACTCTCGGTCAATTGGGATTTAGTTTTCTGTGGAAATAGATTTATTCAGTTGATTGACAAAGTTCATCTACATGCAGAGTTTTCTGATAGAAGTGTTACATCAGTCCCTCAGCCCTGGGGAATAAACTGTCATCGCGAGGAATCAGGTAATGTCTGGTGTACCTTCTGGTGATATTATACAGATATTATCATATGTAGGAGTCAGGTAATCATAAAACACAGGGGAAACACTGTCTTATGTAGAAATCAGGTAATCTTTGTCATCAAATCTGATGATAATACACAGGAAAGACACTGTCTTATGTAGAAATCAGATGATCTTTGTTGTCAAATCTGATAATAAAATACACAGGAAAGACACTGTCTTATGTATCAACCAGGTAATCTTTGTTGTCAAATCTGATGATGATAATACAGAGATTAAGACACTGTCTTATGTAGAAATCAGGTAATCTTTGTCAAATCTGATGATGATAATACACAGGAAAGACACTGTCTTATGTAGAAACCAGGTAATCTTTGTCATCAGATCTGATGATACACAGGAAAGACACTGTCTTATATCGAGTTGTGTTTTCTTTGTTTTCCACACGTGATGATACACAGCAAAAAGGCATGATCTGTTATATCTCATAATCTGTTAGAAATTGATTGATAAAATCCCTGAGGTACATCTGAGTTAATCTATATAGTAAAAATCACAATCGTTTCTTTATCAGTATCTGCTTTTAAGTAATATTTCAATCCTGAGTAGAATTGAATATTTTGTCAGTTTGCTTTATCACATTTGTGTGTAGAGTTAATGATTTTATCAATTAAGTGAAATTTAACAACAGTAAATGTTTGTTGTACAATGATTTCCTGAAATAAAGATGTTGTACAGAAGGGAACTTATCTCACTGTTATCTCCCTTTGATGTGTTGTATCGAGAACTTTAGGCCTGTTTTCTCCATCTAGCAAGTTGTGCACCAACAGCTAATGGGTAGAGCTCTAATAATGCAGCAAAAAACTCATGGGAAAAATACCGAAGGATGATGATAGAACAGACTATGATATTGGATGTGTACGTCATAGGATCAATATTCTTGGGAACATCAAGGTTTCTTCACAGAAAGTTTCACACACCAGAATGCTGGATTTAAACCGCTTTAAAATCTGATGATTAGTAGCAGTTACCGGTGATGTGGAGCTTTCATCTACACATCAC